TACAGTACTGTAATTTTATACATTTCTTGTGAAAGAAACATTTCTTATTCAACGGTGATTAAAATTATTTATGTTAATGATGTCTCCAAAGTTCAACGAAGTTTTCGCAGAAAAATAAGTTATCAGAAATCGGCCGCGGTTTGGTGTGCTGCTCCGCGACGAAAACAAGCTTGAGCAATGGCGATGTCGAATGGTGCACACTCGGTAAGTAATCCTACAATTTTTTGTTTATAGCGTAGTTTATACGGATTATTTCCAAAAAAAAAATATACGTATTTTGGAAATGTTGAGTCGGATTAGTCTAGAATCGATTAATTTTATGGAAGAAAACCTTTCAAACAGTCATAGTCCGTAAACTTCACACGTGTCGGGCTGTGATTGGCAAGGACTCATAAGAAATCGATTCATAAAGAACGGAACGTATCTACCGTCTTATAGGGGAGGTCGACTGTAATCATAAATTAAAGATAAGTTTTTACCTTTGACTCCCTCACGTTCATAAACAGCTATTTCCTTTTTTTTAAATGACTTATCATAATCCTTCTCAGTACTAGTTTCTTTTCGTTTCATGAAGTTTTCTTTCTCACGCTTTAGTTGGATCTCCGATTCTTATTCCAATGTGAAATTCAGGGAATGAATGCGGGTTATCTGGATCATCGTTTCCGTTTTCATATTATCCTCAGTTATTGCTGCTGGTTCCCCTACATATGTATTTACTCGATTCAGCATATTTTTCATCTCCTGGCGCATTACATTTTTTTCGGTATTGTGAAAGAATAATCGTGCTTTCTAACTTTTTGGTTATAGTTTTTCGGATTCTGTATATAAATCAACATCCCTGTGACCTCGATAAGACGCCGTTCTATGATTCTTTTGCGTCCTGGCTTGTGTCCTGCCTTTTTAGTTTGTCTAAGATAAATTTCAGGGTTGTGTCAGCAGTTATCAAACTCGACTCTCTTCTACAGAGAGCTTTTACGGCCAGTTTATAGGTTAGGTTTCGTGGACAAGCCGCGAGGCTGCAGCTCTCCATGGGCTTAAACTGAGATCGTTCCGTCACATGATTCATTGACGTCACAACCGACCGTAAATTAGAATTATGCACCAGGACTAGGAGAGGAGTTACTTATTTTATTTAGCGCGAAGACACTTTATTTAGCGAGAGCGGAAAGTCAACTGGCAATTAGATCAGCAGAGGTAAAAGGGCAGGCAGTACGGTGTAGAGAGGGGGTGTAGCATGTATCACACTGAACGGCAACGTCGCCCTCGCCGCCGAGCGATAGCACACGTAGAAACGCGGCAACAGCGACAACGTAGACTTTTACGCCATTATTTAGAAAGTTAATTGAGTATTTGCGGATCCGCAGCGCTGGATCCAGCACCTGATGCTGGATCCAGCAGGCCGAAGAATACGCTGGATCCAGCTGGATTGCTGGATGAGGGATCCAGCAATTGCAATCCCTAATTATGTACAGTACAGTACATACATATTGACGATTATTGTTGTTAAATATTTTATTGTATAAAAGGAACTATGAAGTGGAAAGAACCTCTTATGAAGGAAACACGATAATAAAATTAAAATTAGCTTTCTTCCATGGAATCGATAACATCTCCATTTTCCAAGTCCAAAATCTTTTTTGGAACGCCTTTTTTATGCGAAGTGTTTTGCATTTGTCTAGGCTAAAATGCAAAACACTCGGCCATGTGTATGTCCTTCGTGTATGAATGTGTGATTTGTAGGAGCTGCTGAAGTTGTTTTTGTGTGGATGCATAAAGTTTTATGTCGTTTATGTGCGTGAGATGTGACAGTGTAAACTGTGTTGTTTTTCATGTCTGATATTGTAACCATATTGGTTGTTGTTTAACATGTTGGATAATGGGTTCGGGGCTAGGCAGAACCAGAGAAGACTTGGAATCTCCTTGAAAAATTACTCCCCTAATGAATATTTGATTTGTTTGTATGTGAGTGTTATGAATCCTGAGATGTAATGTTTTCCAGTGCTGCATAATGTTTTCGAAGAATGCAATGAGTGATGCATGTATTTTGTACATGTGTAGAATATATAGCAGCCAACTGTGTGGAACACTGTCGAATGCTTTTCTGTAGTGTATGTATGCCATGTGTATGTTTCTGTGTTGTTTGTGTGCTTGCCGTAGAATGACCGAATCTATGAGTAACTGTTCTTTGTATCCCCTGTGATTTCTACGGCAACCTTTTTGTTGTTCTGTAAGAATGTCGTGTTCTTCAACATGTTCGTATATTTTGTTTGTGATACAGGATTTTAATAATTTGCAGAGTGTTGGAAGACATATACACTTGATCTGTATTGTGTGGGGTCTGTGGTTTTGTTGTTTTTAGGTTTCATATAGGTAATGTCCAGAGTAAGAAATTTTGGCATGTCTTGTGGATTGATGATGATGATGTGTGTTAAATGTTTAGCTAGTTCCTGGTGCAGTGATGTAAACTTTTTGTACCTGAAATTGTGAAACGTACACCAGGTGTCTTCTGTGAAATCCGGAATTTTTACCGATTTTCCCGATTAATATCCCGTATTTTCCTAAACCCCCAATTAAATTTTTCTTTAAATACTAAGCTGAAACCTAACTTAAAAAAGAGAAAAATTCCAATCTCCCCGTTTGTTCAAAGTAAACATCCGTCCACTTCGGAAATAATCCCACATTCCAACTCCAAAGTTGATAGTTAGCATGGTCCCAGGGACAACTTTGACCTATCTGCGTACCTTTTACTTCACAACAAATAATCACGTGACTATTCTCCCACGACGAAACTATAAAAGCCACTTGCTATCCCCTCTCGGGGGAGTCGTTCATCAACCGGCTAGTGTCCGGCAACTGCTTTAATATTGTGTCCTATCCATATATTGTGTCCTTCCAATATTGTGTACCATTTCTGGACCAGTTGGATACCAGTATCTTTTTTCCTCAAGAAAATCGAAATACAGGAAGATGTATGGAACAGATTTTTGTAAACTCTTTCTCGGCCCTTCGCGTTTTAGGGACTCAGAATTTTCCCTCGATAATAGTTATTGTATCGTCTATGGATGTAGCTAATAAATCGTTGTTTCCTTGTTAAATTGGTGTCCTCTTTTACTCGTATATCGCCTGTCACCTTACCGACGGCACTCCTCCCTCCTCCACTCGACCCGAAACATTAAATCCCGTTACAACGGGGTAAATAAAAGGAAAAATTTTTAAGCCATCTTGACAGTGAGAAGGTTTAACAACCTGTTGCCGGATTGGGAGACTTCCAACCTCCCCGGCGGTTCACACTTCCAATTGTGTGTTCTGTTAACAGCATACTGAATGTCGTGTACGTTTATTTCAGCACAGGGCATGGTATGTTGTGCAAGTTTTCCTTCTCCTCCTCGATCCAGCCTGCATCAGCATTGTGTGTAACAGCATTGGACCAAAGAGAAGACCAATAAGTTGTGAGTTCTTCTTCTATTGGTGTGCCACTGTACTGTGTATCAGTGTTTGTTTTGATACTAATTTCAGTATTAAATGCTTAATTTCAGGTAGCCAACTGTTTAAACTGGCTACCCGAATTGAGCATTTAATACAGATAATAGTATGGAGCCAGAATAAAACAGGTAATAAAACATTCGTGACAGGTAATAAAATTAAAAATCTAATTCCCTTAAAATTAATTAAAATTTAATTTTAATTAATTAAATTNGTATCCTCTATGAATGTAGCTAATAAATCGTTGTTTCCTTGTTAAATTGGTGTCCTCTTTTACTCGTATATCGCCTGTCACCTTACCGACGGCACTCCTCCCTCCTCCACTCGACCCGAAACATTAAATCCCGTTACAGCTGGGTAAATAAAAGGAAAAATTTTTAAGCCATCTTGACAGTGAGAAGGTTTAACAACCTGTACCGGATTGGGAGACTTCCAACCTCCCCGGCGGTTCACACTTCCAATTGTGTGTTCTGTTAACAGCGTACCGAATGCCGTGTATGTTTATTTCAGCACATGGCATAGTTGGTATGTTGTACAAGTTTTCCTTCTCCTCCTCGATCCAGCCTGCATCAGCATTGTGTGTAACAGCACCGGACCAAAGAGAAGACCAATAAATTGTGAGTTCTTCTTCTGTTGGTGTGTCACTGTACTGTGTATCAGTGTTTGTTTTGATACTAATTTGTCTGTAAAAGAGTTTTTCATTGTTTGTAAATAACTTATTTTGTTATTTTCGTAGTGTACATGTTTTTTATCGTTTGAGTCTACGTGCTTTGGCTGCAAGTTTTTGTTTTAGTGCCATTTTACACAACATTTAATATTCCTGTAGAAGAAATTTTCTGTTGTGAAAATGGTGATGGTGACAACAGCAATGAAGGAAACGGTGCATTCTGCAAATCAAAGTGCTGTGAATATTAGACAACAATTAATATTACAGAGATTCTGCTTTTATTCATATTCATTTTTTCCAGTCTTAATAAAGTAACTAATTTGTAATTAATCTATGCTTTTAACTCTCTTTTTATATCTTCGTGACAGGTAATAAAATTAAAAATCTAATTTCCTTAAAATGAATTAAAATTTAATTTTACTTAATTAAATTGTGTGTGGTGTGTGAACGATTCTGTTCACCCTATTTGATGCTTAATAACTCCTGTGCTTTTAGTTGAAAATTTCTGAAATTTTGTAGGGAAATTTTGTTTATTAGGGAATTTACGCTATTAAATTTTGGTGATTAAAGGTTAAGGGGGTGTGGAGATAAAGTGAGTCGTGTGTATCTCCAGTAGGGTCGGACTTAATGACGGTTTTTAATCGTTATTACCGTTTACCTTAAATTATGTGTATTTGCTGTTTAATTTTACGGAAGTGGGTATTGTTTAATGTCTACGAACGGACGAATTCACTTTCTTTTATTTCTAATGGAGAAAATTGATTCTGACTTCGAACGATTCGGAGATCGAATGGCATTCTGAAACGAATTAAATTCATTTCAGAATGCTCAAAACATTACTGTACTGTATTTTAAAAGAGCTTTTGCTGCCATCTGTTGAAAGAATAAAGAATTTGTTATGACAAAATTATAAGATTTTATCACACGTTGTAATCAAACTTTTAATAAAAATAATAATATTTTTCTAGTTTTTCTAGTAATATTTTTGTGAGGTATTAAAAATTTGTAATCTCTCTCTCTCTCTCTCTCTCTCTCTCTCTCTCTCCATGAAATGCAAATACCCCTGTGTAACGTGCCGTCTAATAAATGTTTAAGTGTAGTAAATTGTGTCGAGTGAATCAATTCCAACTGAATCTCGTCCTTTCCTACTGCATCCTCTCGTATTGCTATTCAGAAAAACGCTCAAAACTTCGTGTAGTAGTCGTAACGTACTTGGTATCAGAAGGAAAGACAGTAGTAGGATCTCATAGTGTTGCCTGGACGTCACTCACAGTGGTGTCAGAATTACCACACACCATCGCAGAAACCTCAAAGTACGTTTCGTTTTCGTTAGCCACGTGAGATAATTAAGCTTTTCTTATCGATCATTCTCTCAAGTTGCCATTAAGAATGTAACGAAAGTAAAAAGAACATGGCGACTTTAGGTGTTCATTTAATGACATTTTAATACAAATAAATTTGGCTAACTCTAGTACACGACAATACTAAGAATACATGCTTCGTTTGGCCATCCGGCCCATCTCATTTTAAGTTAACGTGAATAAGCATTACACAAGTTGAGCATTCAAAGAAAGAATACACACGGTGTTATCGCTGATGAACTGTTGCAGGCCAAGCTTATATCTACGCAAACAAGACAATTGTCTAGGGCCTGGATCTGATAGGATTCCATAAATGGATTTTCAAATTTACATATAAATAAGTGTATTTTAATTTTAAGTATACAATGAACAATTTGAACATAGTGACATTAAGTTAAACTCCCGAAAGAGCCCTAATAAATGTAACAAATGAAGTCCCTATTCCAAGCTCTAAAAAACGAAATCTTCTTAATCTTCTACTTTCTACAGTAAATAAAGTATTCTAATTAGAAAAATATTAATAAAATAAATTAACTTTAAAGTAGAAAGCTCAAAAAAGAAAAAAGCTTACCATAGAATGTTTGTTTTATTAAATCATGCGACTTTCGGTTGTGATGAATCCTCAGACGAGAATAAACTTGTTATTTCGGCTGTTAAATATTGAATTAAAATGAATATTGAATCTTTTATAGTCAACGAAGTTTATAGAAGAAGTCTAAAAGAATTTTTCTACAATACAAAAGACTTTTCAGTTTGTATTATAGAATTTTAACATTGATTTGAGACTATTGAATTCACTACAGACTATGGTCACACTTAATTCATTCTTCTAATACAGTATAATGAAATAAGACAATGGGCAATCTACAAAGCGGGAATGACTACTGAGAGGAATTTTTATGGGAACTCTCCCAAAAAAAACTAGTTCTTCGGGTTCAAACCCGCGACCAATTACAAGTGTTAAATTGATTTGTCAATTCTACTTACGAAAGATCAAAGGGGAAATATAATTATCAGATAAAACATATAATAAGAGAACGCAAGATCTTCCTATTGCAAAATATACAATGAATAAACAGAATTAAATTAGAAACTGTAATACTTATTATCATATTTGCATGTAATGCTATATTTGAGTATTTTATTCCGGTGGTAGTAGCTTAAAAAAGAAAGTCGTCTCCGTACTTTACGTTAATTTTAATTAATGATTGTGTGAAATGTAGTGAAAATTTGAATATTAGTCAGCAATTATATGTAAGATTACACAATAAATAGGTAAAATCAACACAAAAAAGTAGTCTAAAGAAATAAATATAAATTCAATTTTTTTTTAAATAATTACCTGTGTTTTCTTTATTGTCGACGTCGTTACTTTGCTTCTGAATTTTGTTCAACTTTCTCTTTATGAAATAGAAAATTATGCAGAGAAGGAAGCAGATTAAAGCTTGAAACAGTCCATAAAAGTATGGAAACAACATAATTGAGGAATGTTTCTAATAATGAAGAGTTTTTAATAAAATAATTTCAGATAATCCAATAATCTAAAATATAAATGAAAGACACGTACGGAGGTATCAAAGGATAGAGTAATGATGCCGAGTGCAACAGTAAAATTTTGAATCCCGCACTCGATAGCTATTGCCTTGCAAGCCGATTTGGAATTTCTACAGATGAATGCTATGACGTATCCAATTACCATTCCGGTTAAAGGAGATAATAAAGACGTAACAATAATTTTCCACGATGTTAAATTAAACATGTGATGAAAGGAGATTACCTCTATTATCCCGAAGACTATAATCATTAACACGGTTGTTGCACTTCCCCACTGTTAATGAAAATCCAAAATGTAATTTCAAAATACTTAATACTATAACTGTTTACGAAATCATATTTTATACCTTAGTGATATAAACAGATAATTTAGTAGCTTTCCATTTTATTATCATACCCAAAATTACGGGAGGAACAATCATTAATAACGATAATGCAATATTGCCGTAAGGTATTATTAACTTTTTAGCTTCTGTATTACTCGCATATATCCATATATTCAAAGGCATCATGCCTAGGCATACCACGATAGATACTGTCGTCATAGTCACACTGAAAAATGATAAATATTAATTTTATAGAGAGTATTCTATGCAGTTAAATATAGTAAACGATTTCTACATACCTCAGGGAAACGTCACCATCTAAATAATATGTGAATAAATTAGAAATTGCACCTCCAGGACAGCACGATATAATAAGTAAACCAGCCGCTACAGTTGATTCGAATTGAAATATAACATTATAAAGAAATCCATTCAATGGCATTATAACGAATTGGCAAAAGAGTCCAATGGCTGGACCAACGGGTTTTCGAAACTGTTTATAAATCTATTCACATAAGAAATGTATTATATAATATGTTAATTAAACAAGAGATAAAGGGAAATAAGTATCAAAACCTGATTCCAAGAGATGTCTGCACCCATAGCAATCATCGAGATTATCAGAAAAATTATTGCAAGAATGTTTTCAGCCTTTTTAAGATCTTTGTTGATATAATGAATGGGTGTATCATTAGACGTTGAATTACTTTCCAGGAAATCCAACGTATTGTTTTCCATGTCGAATTCACTACACCAAATTAAAAAAAAAAAAATTAAATTTTTGTTTGAGTTGTACTCAACTTTCAATATTTGCAGGGAGTGGTCGAGGTGACAGCCTGAAAAATTTCTGGGGATCGAATCCCCAGAAATTTTTCAGGGGGTGATCCGACCGAATATGTCGGGCGCATCCGTCACCACCCGGCCTCTCCCTTATGGGACTGGTCGAACCCATAATGGGCTTGCAAAAAGAGATCCTCTTAGTGCCCACAGGGCGGAAAGAATTTAAAAGAAAAGGTCTGTAAGAGGTTTAAGCTTAATTCTCATTAAATAAATTCTTGCAAATATTATGTTTTGATTTTACATACCTTTCTCTTCGTACAATATGTTAAAATGCGTCTTAGAAATCAAATTTATATACGTGTTAACCCTAAACACTTACACTCGAATTCTATCGCGCAGAAAAATTATGTCTCATAATGCAGATTAAGCAGTTTATTTCTGTTCTGTCATTAAATATAATTGATATTATTGAAAAATTTTGAATATTTTATTCCTTTCTCTTTATCATTGCGCCACCGCTAAAAGACTATTTTTAACTTTTTTGCATTTGGAGGGGGATGAGTAGCATACAATAGCAAGTCAACTCCGCTGTATATAATATTGGAAAGTTATTTCATACTTTGACGTGGCTTTTTTTCTATGTTTATAGTATGTTCTGTTTAGTTATATAATGGAGGAAACCCGGAAAAACTCCAATTGGCCTGTCAAAGAAGCACTTGAGCAGAACGACTTAAATATATAGGGGGAAACAAATCAATATATGCTGTGGGACATGCTAAAAATTATTACCACGTGAAGAGGATAAGATGCTAATAGAGAAATTGAAGGAAAGTTCTCACCCCACAGTCTCCATCAGATGTGTAGTTCTGTGTGGCGAAGAACCTGTCTGTCCGTTTACACAGTTGAAGGGGCAGAAGGTGACAGAGAGAAGGCACCTTCTAAAGTGATATTTAGAAAAGTTTGATTTTTAATGGAAGTGCTATTTATGGAAAAGTGAAGCATTAATTTACTATAGTTTTAAACAGTTGAAAATAAGTGAGAAGGTATACAGCGAACCCGTCATCCATCAAATGATACTACTCCTGAGGCTCAGACAAGACTAGGGGTGCCCAATTGGGTAGAGAATAATAGTCTATGATAGAATGAAGTGATAAGTGTAGCTGGCAAACAAACACCCACAGAGGTGGCTGCGGAAGAACCAAGCATGCCAAGATCAGAGGGAAGATTGCCGCGTATCGTGCCAGGAGACGAAGCGGTAAACACAAAACTATGTAGCTCATAGCTGATCAGCAGAAGAAGACATGGCCACTCCCCGAAGGAGAGACAAAAGAGATAGATTCATAAGAAGTAAAGGTGGGGAAGATAGTGAAATAACAGAGAGGTGCCAGACTGGCTACGAGTATGTTGAAGGACATGGTAAGAAGACATTTTATTCTTTCTTCAAATTTGTGAATATTTTTAAATTTATTACTGTCCTGTTCAAGGACAATAATAAAAATAATAGTTTAGTATTTCAAATAATAATGTCCAAAGACACGACTATTTGAAGTATTTTTGCATTGTATTTACCTGAGCGATTACGCTATTTGAAATATAACGTTTGCAGTTTATTGTCTGAATTTTAGAAAACAATTTCTACGTTAGATTTTAACAATTTTTATGTTAAAATTCTGCGTGGAGACCTGTTCCGTGCATAAATTATTTTTTGGATAATATAATTAACTTTCAGATAAGATATAATCAAGTAAAACTTAATATTTGACGCTTAATAACAAAAAGATATTTTGACATTTTTGGGTTCTGTTTTCTGGAATATAAAGAAAGAGAGTTATTTAATGTTTCTGAAGAGTTTGGTGAATTTCGGTTGAACTATGGAAGAGTTATCCGATTTCAAAGAAAAATTTCTTTGAACTCGGATAACTCGGGTTTATTGTGATTTATTTCTTTATTAAAAAAGTTGATATATTTAATATTTTTTCCGTTTTATTCAGGTGCCGTTTTTTTTACAGGTTTTAACGTACATGTTTTCTTTGTTACAATATTAAATTCTGAATTAAAATGATCTTTATACAAAATAATTTGTACATAAAATATTTTATTTTATCTTTAATAAATTTCAAACTTTTTAGCTTATAAATTTCTTACGAAACAAAATACTATATTTTATGACATTTATATTATATAAAGCGAAATAGTTTCTATATCATTAGTTTTATACAGATTTGTTGCATACAACTGACCTATATACTAATATTATGAACCTGTATTTGAAGATAAAGGAAAATCGAAACTACTCTTTTCATGCGTTGTTTACTTATTAATATTGTTAAATAATAATTAAAAGCATTATATAAATTTCTTATAACTATAAAAATAGCAAACTAACTTTATGAATAATAAAATATACTGCATAATAATTTTACTAAAGGAATACTTGTACCGTTATATTACTAAACAAAATTTGAAAAATTTTCGATGAATGTGTTTTGAAAAGTCGTATATTATTAGTTTTATAAATATTATAACATGTACTGTACTATATATAATTTTATCTGAAACTTGACAATATTTGCTTTGTCATATCAAACTTTGTTTTCTACTACAGTACAATTAAACCTCAATTTAGAGCCTTCAATTGTTCTCTACAGAGGCTGGCGCTAAATTGGAGAACTTCAAAATAAAGTTACATGAATTAATAGGATATACACACAAATTTGTACTTGACTGTCCAATAGGCTTCAAGAGACAATTCCTTATGTTTAATCATCAATCCACGATCAGTGGATATAGCTACCAGTTCTTCTGTTAATAAAGAGGTCGAGGCCGAAGTTTTCACGTTGAGCGCCGCCTTCCTGTAAGCCTAGAAGTTTGACGATGGCGTTTGGAACGTCGAGCATGATACCACTGACGTTCCAAACGCCATTGTCAAACTTCTAGGCTTACAAGATGGCGGCGCTCAACGTCCGACGTTCACGTTTTCGCGTTGAAATCTTCGGCCGCAACCTCGCTAGTATTCAAAATATCGAGCTGCTGAAATGTATCGGCCAAATACTGTAACCTGGCAATCCAAACTTCGCACCGAAGGAGGTTACAAAAATATAACTGTTTTAGCTCTTTAACTCTTTCATGCTCGGGCTGTCTACCGATTTAAACCAATTGTCCTTTCCTTTCGTTCACGTGTCAGCAGTTACGTTCAACTCCTTCCTCTCATCCCATGGAAAATTTTCAACTTTTATGTAACTATTACAAATATGGTTTTTTAGCCGTGTCAAGCGACTGACCGACGTTTTGTTTGAGACACAGTTCATATTTTCGATACTCTGGCAACGGACCAGTACATCATACCAATTGTGCAGACGGCACTCGACACGGTCCAACAAGTCGATGCCCGATTGCACGTCGCACTGCGAACTCTCATCAGACTAAACGGAATTCACATCCTACCATCATTTTCTGAAGTATTGCAATTGAACGAGAAACAGCTATGATGCAAGCCATTTATGAAGAAATGGAATCTTTAAAACGAAACGATGCATGGAGGTTAGTCGAACGTCCGAAGAATGCACAACATTTAAAACATCGCATGATTACTTTGAGTAACTCGGGTGCATTCGAAAGATGTTGAGCGGATGTCGCCTGTACCCGACAAGAAATGGGCGGTTGTCGTATTTCCGAACGAAAGCACCTTGTCTCTGGTCGAGTACCTGAGACGACGATACCCGGAAGTGACAGAATGGAATCGATATTTTGGGGAGGGATGTACAGTACCACATGATCTAAGTTAGAAGTATTTGAACGTAACTACCGAGTTTCGTAGCAATTGGTCGAACGGCCTAAGAGTGTATACAGAACAAACAAACAAGCAAACATCCTTATTTATATATAGATAGATATTGTAACATGTATGAATGGAATTTATACGTATAAAGATATAACGTGTTTGTTTGTTTATAGTATTTATAGTAAATACAACACTATAAATACTATAAACAAACACGTTATAGATGTTATTGTATGTGGGGGGCACGGATTTTTTTTTCTTTAGAAAACTTACTTTTATAAATTTCGTTTAGATTTACTATAACTTTATTAATAAGTGAGAATTTTTATGTGGATGAAATTTTAAAATTAAAGTTTTATTATTTACAATCATTTCATTTAATTAATATGTACTGTACTGTACAATACTAATGTTTTAATTGCAACGTAGATGTGAAAGCCATGAAAAATACTGCGGTATCATCCTAAGATAATCAGAGGTGGAACCTCAACTAATTATATAATACCAATCTGCAGTTTTTAGTATAGAAAAGTTGATCTCGTATTCAGAGGCGATAGTAGATTCTTTGTTCTTGACATTTACAATATTAATATTAGTATACATTTTATTATATTATTATATAATATTAGCTTATATTAGCATTAATATTAGCGTAAAGTATATATATATATGTGTGTGTTTTAAAAACTTTTTTCTAGAAATAAGGGAGAAATAAGAAGAGAAGGGAAGAAAAAATATTTCTCTCCTTCTGTTCTTATTTTCTCCCTTATTTCTATGGAAAAAAAAAACTAATATTTATTTCTAATAAATTGAATACAACATTTTTCAATAAGTCATATTAAAATTAGATATATTTTTTTCATCATTCTGCAATATTTATACAGCAGAAGCTAAATATATCCTGCAGGAAAAACACACGAATTATCAGAATGATCTCTATCGATATACTTCCTTAGATAATAAAAAATATAATTTAAATTTTTATAATAATAGTAATAATAAAATTAGGTGTAATATTTTCAATTGCGTCAATATTAATAATATAAAATATATAAATTATATACTCGAGGTTAAAGATTATTTCATAATTTACAATTTAACGCTTGAAATTTAAATCTATCGAAACTGTAATAAATATCCTGCAAATTTTTATACAAAAATTTCTTCGAAAAGAATTACATCAAATGAGATTTGGTTGACTCCGAGACAACATTTACTTTGTTCACACACGAATAATTTTTTTAATTAAAGTATTATTATGATTTCGTTATATATATTGAAATATTTAATACTTTTTATACACGTTATAGGTAAGTATTGTTTATGTTTTATTTATATTTAAATTGTTTTTATCTATAGAAATATTCATACAACGTCTTTGTGTCTTGTCTTTTATCAATACAACGTTCGGCCTTTTAATTGTGAATAATTTTTCTATTATTAAAATAATTCTTACAACCCCTAATATTCATTCTATACTTCAATTTTATTTGCTATTTAAATTTAATTTTGTTATTTATTCACAACGTCACTTCACTGTTTAAGTATTACAGGTAGATGGTTCATTTCGCACTTCCTGTTTTAACAGATTAAGTTCTATAATTCTACTGAATAGTATTAGGTTAGAGGATCATTTGTTTTACTTATTTTAACTATTTATGATACATTTTTAAAAATTATTTTACAGAATTTTCCATGATATTATTACTTCTTCTTTGTCAGACTACGCATTTTGTCGTAGTTTTACCTTCGGAAATATTTTATAAACACGACTGGAGTAAGATTACAGTAGAATTTCCCCCAAATCCGTGTGAAGAAAGTGGCTTAAAATGTTCGGAAAATCGATCTTGGTATGTATTATATTACTTTTATTATGGAATAATTGCTGTAAATGGAAACAAAAACATTACTTGATAGTCTAGAAGTTCGAGTATAACGAATTTAATTCAAAATATTTCAAGATCGTTAACATATTTATACATTTTCTATTTTTTTAAGTGTGTTTATTTAGAAATTACTCATTTATAAATGCGGTCGAGGATTAAAAAAAAAACATAAAATGCTTGAACGAATTTCGTATTCATTATATGTTATTTACTACTATTTAAAAAGTACGTAAACATGCTTCACATATTTTCGCAATAGTAACTACGACTAACAAGAAGCCCCAATTATAGGTCTTTATAGCATATAAAAGAATATAATATTAAAATATTTCTTGTTTTTTTAGTTAAATTAAAATAAAGATAAGAAGATTCTTTAATATTTAATTATTTTATAGTACTCTTAAAGTAATTTAATTATTATACAGTCGACCCCCCTATAACACTGTTGATAATTCCGTTTTATATGAATTCCATGTTGTACGAGTCACTTAGATTTTATAGACATATAAAACGGAATTATCAACAGTGTTATAGGGGGGTCGACTGTAATTGCTTTATAACAATTAAATAAATTACTTTTTAACATCATAAAAAAATTAAAATCTGCTATTAAAATTATATTATAAAAGTCTAAAAAGGCTTTATTTTATATGTAAAAAAAAAATTCGAATTTTCTACTTTCAAACGTCATTAGTCACCTCGAACATACAACGAAATATAAAATTAATTTAGTTATAGCACGCCCGAATGTTTAAAAAGCTGCTCTACACGTGTCGTTGCTTTGTTTCAGGAACAATGACATATGTTTATACTAAATATACTTTTATTTACTGAAGCGAAATTACTTCTATGAGGCTTACAGAATTGAGTTCGTTCTCAATATTTAATTGGCCAATTTTCCATTAATTCCGATGAGGAATCCAAAAAAAAATGTAACGAGTGTGTATTTAAATGCCAAAAAAATAGCAGTTTATTTATATATTTCTAAAATAACTTTTATATTATTCTAGGAAATTTTCAAACTCTATTTCTAACAAACAAAATGATATAACAAGAAAACATTTGAGACACATCCCATACGAAAATATTAAGAAAAGATACAAGAGATCTCAAGATGATTTTATAAAGACATTTGCTATTTTACCAGGTAAGTATTATAGAAATTTAATATTTTTATTAAAAGAAAATGTATATATTATATAGTGTAGTAAACCTTATAATATCTAATTTCATATTAAAAATTTCAAACAATAAACTATGAATTTTCTTTTATTTTAAAACATGTTTTATAGGTACAAAATGGTGCGGAGCTGGAAATAAATCGGATGGTGGTGATTTAGGTTATTTCAATGACACGGATCGGTGTTGTCGAAGACACGACAGTTGCCCAGACAGTATTAAATCTAAAGCCACGAAATATGGATTGAGGAATAACGAATCGACAACAATGTAAATTTATTTTAAAACATTTAACTTATATTTTGTAAATATATTTAACACTATAATTTTTTTAAATATTCGAATTGTAGTAATTTAATCGTGTATTATCTTTTCTTTCTTAAACAGGAGCCATTGCGATTGTGATGACGAGTTTTATTACTGTTTAAAAGAAGTTAATTCGGTCGTATCTAATAAAGTAGGAATAATGTTTTTCAATGTCTTGCAAAAGAGATGTTTTCGAAAAGACTATCCAATCGTCGAATGCAAAAATAAATCTTGGTTAGTTTCATTTAAATTACTTTTAATTGAAATTAAGTATACAATTTTACTTAATTAATTAAACATAATTATTTTCTTAGGTTTGCAAGAAGATGTAAGGAATACGAGTTTGACAGAAGTAAAAGAAAGATTTGGCAAATATTCGATGCCAAAGAATATTAGTAATGATTTGCATTGGCAACTAAACAATTATAATTTTAAAAATATCTAATTATGTTATAAAAAATGAATTCGACTAACATTTAATAAATTATTTTATTATCTTTTTATTAAAATAATTAATGAAAAATACAGTATATAAATGCTCGAAATGTTTTAATGTTTCGTTACATTTGTAAGCTTTATCAATTAATAAAGTAAATAATTGATCAGTGGACGTTGTTCAGAGATTTAATTATATAAACATTTAATATATATGTATATTTTTAAATATAAGTTATCTCTTTATAACAACTTTGATCTGAAATGTAACGATTTGTCGAAATTGTTATTTACTATGTCTAATAAAACTATTTTTATTGCATGCTTTTAAAAGAAAATATACAAATCAGAATGAAGTACCTTAATGTTTTTGTTTCATTAAGTAAAATTAATATCTTTTAGGATCAAACATTTGCCATTCTTTAGGCTTTTCTACATCAAATTCGTATTCTTGGCATACCTTGATAATTCTGTTTAAGAAAAAAAGATGAAGTATAAGTTATATTGTAAATAGAAATTTTTAATATCAATATAATAATTTATTATTATTATTATTACCCGGTCTCTTTTATGCATCCTTTAATTGGATAATCTTCACGGAAACATTTCATCTTCAATACGTTAAAAAATAAATTTCCTATAGAAAAGGAAGCTGGAGAATTTACTTCTTTTAAACATTCATAAAATTCATCATCACAATCGCAATGACTTCTGTTAAAAACAAAAAAAAAATATTTGTTACAATCTACACTTATTTTACGCTATTTTAGAAAGATTTTAATAATAATAAATCGTAATAGTTTATTATTCTAATGTTAATGAAAAATTTAAATCCCACATTCAAATTTCTAAAAGGAATGCTTTTATTATAGCGAGTTTACGGCTGAAGTTTTCGTCTGTAAAACGTCAACGTCGAACGTCGAGCGGCGCTTGACGTTCGACTTCCACGTTTGGTACAAGTACTGTATTTAAATAAGTCGTTTTTTTACCGTTTTGTTTATAATAATAATTTCTCTTATAATATTAACTTTACGATAATGCAAATTAGACGTAACTCTCTTAATTTTTTGCAGAATTATTGCAGAGATATTTGCATACATTGCCAAGGTGATCAGTTATCTCGATGTGTTTTCCCAGTATGTCTAAATAAATCTTCATTATTCTTATTTTTTGTAATTATTGACCAAATATACAATAAAAAAAACAAACTTACAGAGTTACTAATCCAGCATTATAAAGACCATACTTAGTTTGATTGGCATTGATGACATCGAAACATTGATCGTGATTACGACAGCAATCATCTGTTTTTTCGAATGTTCCTAAATCACGAGCATTGTTCGATACATTGCCAGCTCCACACCAGTTTGTACCTAGACAGAAAACGAGTTAAAGTTACTGGTTTCTTGTTATTTATCAAAGAATTTAAAACTTCTTACCTGGAAAAATAACGAGTTTCCTTAAAACTTTATTAATGGTTCTTTTAGATCTGATCTTGGATTCGGTAGTTACACTTTCACATTTCAAAAATTTTATGATTTCTTCCTCAACATCTTTGCTATTCTCTCCTATACTGTTACCAATTTTTCTAAAATTAAAATAGTTATAAAACGATCATTTTAAAATCCACTATATTCAGATGGTTTATATTATGATAAATATTCTTTATTTTATTTATAATTATGACTCGTATATTATCATTTGTTTGCAGATAACATTTAAAAAAAAGTCTACCTAGTTTTATTTTTTATTAAAATTTAATTTTTAATCAGTTAAATCGCCTATAACTGGCCCCTATTCAGGCATTACAGAAAACCCTGAAAAACTCCACGTGGCCACGACCGAACTCCCAGTGTTTAGGGAACAGAACCGCTTAGCTACTAAGAAAAATAATAATTATTATTATTTCTAGGAATAAAAAACTTAAGCATACCCATCTTCATAAAAATAGCAATTTCGAGAAGTTTTCGTAGGATCGTGGTTAGGTTCTACCAAAATCATTTTAGAGCCATAAGGATAAACATAAATTTGCGATTCTGAAATGCTGATTTCGACAAGTATAAGAATATAAAGAAGGAAACGAAGCATTTTCTGAATCGTAGAAACCAAGTATGCGTCGTAATATGTCTACAAGTAACTATATATATATTACTTTACCTTGAAATGAATTACCTTGAATGAACTTAGTTTCAAGGAAAATTCGTACCTGAACGTGTATTAACAACTACATTGGAAATTACACGTGGAAAATCAATCACTCTTAAATAAAAAAGAATTATTTGTAATTTCTATATACGTATTTATTCGTCGTTTATAATTATATAGTGTATTCGAATGAAATTTTTCCTATAAAGGGGGGACTAAAAATATCATAATAAGAACTTGTAATTAAAATCAGAGCAGTTTATTAGTAAGCCCATTTAATTTATTTATATTATTACAGTCGACCCCCTATAACACTGTTGATTATTTCGTTTTATATGAATTCTATGTTGTACAAGTCACTTAGATTTTACAAATACATGAGCCATTTACAGCCCGGCACACATATTTGTAAAATTTAAGTGACTCGTACAACATGGAATTCATATAAAACGAAATAATCAACAGTGTTATAAGGGGGATCGACTGTATTTTTTTGTTTGTTTGTTATATGACTCATATTTACAATCCCAAACTTTTTTAGATTGTAAAGAACAGTTATCGTAACAATAAAATTACGTAATTTTTCGTGTTTTACGTGAGCATAAATTTTGCACGCGCATCTATTGTACCCTTGACCTCCAGATTAAAAAAAAAAAAACACTTGCACCTTTCCTGCCATATTTTCTCAACGTTTTAATAATGACTTCTTCCTCTTCGTTTTTATTTATTAAGAAATTATATTAAAATATATACATTCTAGAATGTCGCTTCCACAATTAATAATAATTAATTGTTTCTCTACAAGTGTGTTTGTGTGGTTAAAGTAACGCAACACTTGGGCGATCTGCCTAGGGGGGATGCCTTTCCAGAGGTCTTTTTAAGAGTAACTGGCCCCTATTCAGGCATTACAGAAAACCCTGAAAAACTCCACGTGGCCACGACCGAACTCCCAGTGTTTAGGGAACAGAACCGCTTAGCTACTAAGAAAAATAATAATTATTATTATTTCTAGGAATAAAAAACTTAAGCATACCCATCTTCATAAAAATAGCAATTTCGAGAAGTTTTCGTAGGATCGTGGTTAGGTTCTACCAAAATCATTTTAGAGCCATAAGGATAAACATAAATTTGCGATTCTGAAATGCTGATTTCGACAAGTATAAGAATATAAAGAAGGAAACGAAGCATTTTCTGAATCGTAGAAACCAAGTATGCGTCGTAATATGTCTACAAGTAACTATATATATATTACTTTACCTTGAAATGAATTACCTTGAATGAACTTAGTTTCAAGGAAAATTCGTACCTGAACGTGTATTAACAACTACATTGGAAATTACACGTGGAAAATCAATCACTCTTAAATAAAAAAGAATTATTTGTAATTTCTATATACGTATTTATTCGTCGTTTATAATTATATAGTGTATTCGAATGAAATTTTTCCTATAAAGGGGGGACTAAAAATATCATAATAAGAACTTGTAATTAAAATCAGAGCAGTTTATTAGTAAGCCCATTTAATTTATTTATATTATTACAGTCGACCCCCTATAACACTGTTGATTATTTCGTTTTATATGAATTCTATGTTGTACAAGTCACTTAGATTTTACAAATACATGAGCCATTTACAGCCCGGCACACATATTTGTAAAATTTAAGTGACTCGTACAACATGGAATTCATATAAAACGAAATAATCAACAGTGTTATAAGGGGGATCGACTGTATTTTTTTGTTTGTTTGTTATATGACTCATATTTACAATCCCAAACTTTTTTAGATTGTAAAGAACAGTTATCGTAACAATAAAATTACGTAATTTTTCGTGTTTTACGTGAGCATAAATTTTGCACGCGCATCTATTGTACCCTTGACCTCCAGATTAAAAAAAAAAAACACTTGCACCTTTCCTGCCATATTTTCTCAACGTTTTAATAATGACTTCTTCCTCTTCGTTTTTATTTATTAAGAAATTATATTAAAATATATACATTCTAGAATGTCGCTTCCACAATTAATAATAATTAATTGTTTCTCTACAAGTGTGTTTGTGTGGTTAAAGTAACGCAACACTTGGGCGATCTGCCTAGGGGGGATGCCTTTCCAGAGGTCTTTTTAAGAGTAACTGGCCCCTATTCAGACGTGGAGAAAACCCGGAAAACTCCATGTCTTAGCCAAGCGCAAACTTACGACCGAACTGCCAGTGTTTAGGGGACGGAACCACTTGGCCAGTGGTGGGCCCTCAATTTATGATTTTATTATTTTTTACACCAGTTTTTTTATTGTAGTAACATTTATAATTATTATTTTTAAAAGTACTAATCTTAATCAATGTATGATAATATGTTATGATAACTACTTTTCCATTGTTTTATTTAATTTAACTTAGTTACTGTATACGAAATCGACAGCCAGCCCGAGATAGACTATGATAAATTAATAACTACTAATAAAAAACTGATTAATATACTTTTGAAATATTTTATTAGTCCTTATCCAAGAAAACAATTTAGATAAAATGAATATATTATGTGTTTTCTACACGGATTGGCAATTATGAGGTTTGTATTCATTAACAACACCATTGAAGATACATTTTCCTCTAAGTCTCGACTGAATCATTCAAAAAAGTATAAATTGTCTAATGTAAGGTTATCGTGTTGTATCTGTCAAGTGTAAGGTTATTTCGTAGCGGACTCCTACAAAATAAACGTTACTTCAGATATGTTAAAAACTGTGTCTTGCTCTACCTCAATTGTTTAATGCGTTTTTCAGTCATTAACAAAGTAACCCGTTAACACACTATCCAAAAATAAACAGGTTTTTCAAAATAAGAAAATGATCTCTTTTAGATATCGTATCAAAGATTCATTTTGACAACACTCTCCTTCTATTCAACCTTATTCTAATATCCTTCTTTTCAGAAGAATTTTTCTCTACGGTTGATGTTTCCACTGATAAGCCAGTGCTATTCTACAAAGATCAAAAAGTGCTATTTAAATATTGCATAAAATTACATAAATTTAGAAACATAAAAAATTAATCGTTCATATAATTAACTAAAAATGTTTAATTATTAACGTTTATTTTTCTTCTGTTACTATAATGAATCATATACACAAGACAGTTTTGGTTTTAAAACTTCTATTGTTTTTTTTTACACGATGACAAATGCTATTTCAATTAACGATCCAAAACCGAAAACGATTGCCATAAACATTTATATTTTAACAATTTATAATTTAAAAAACAATATTATACTTTGTGGGGATAATTTATATACTCTATTTATAAATATAATAACAGAAATCTATAGTGAAATTGATAAAAATCCATCTAAAATTCTAGAAACTCGAAAAAAGATCAATTACGCAATCTTATTAATAAATATGATGATTCATCCTATTTCTTACAATAACATTCTTCTACATTATGACAATGCTATAAGATGAACAATTACCTTTTTACAAAGTCAATATAAATACGCGCACACTGTTTATTGCGTGGTAAAATGTTGTATCTACCGGTAATTACAGTATTTCCCAGTAAATTATTGTAGAAAAAAGTATTTTGCCATTTTTTCAAAACATCAAGGACTCAATTGTCAATATTTTAAAATTATTTTGCTCTTTGAGAACTAAGAAGACTTTTTTTTCTAAGGTCCATCGGTGGATTCGCCCATGCCCACAATAGGGCGACTGGGTAGTCCGTGTCCCTCCCGGATTCCTCAGAGCGGTAGGCTAATGGATTCCAGTATTGCCTTATTGTTGACAGTTACTCGGGATTCTTTGATTTTTAAAAATTAGATTATCCGATTTCTCACATAGTAATTACTTTTGCAACACACGGCACACCTGATATACTGGAATCGGATAATGATTCACAATATTCGTCAAATGCATTCCACAACTTTACAAAAAATTGAAAAATTTTACATATCACGTCAAGCCCGCATTATCGAAATCGAATGGACTAGCTGAAGGCTATGGGCAAATAACAAAGCTAATCTTGAGATGTACAGTATTATGGAACTGACGGATATACAACTGACACTTTTGAGCTGGAGGAATACTTCTCGATGGAACCTTCCCTCTTCTGCCCAACGTTTTTTTGGACGACCTACTCTTGGTTTAATACCGTTGCATCAATTGTCACGGTTGCCTAGAAAATCAGTTTTTGCATCTATTTAAGTAATCAGAGAAAAGCAACGTGTGGCAGCCACTACTTCTTCAATGAATCTGCAAATGTAATACAAAGCCAATCAGTTTGACTGAAGACAGCACCAGGAAATTGGGTTCCAGCTACAGTTTATAGCATTGCAAAGACACCGCATTCTTATATAATTAGAACTGGTGACAACGGAATCCTTCGTCGCAACGGTGAAGGGCTACGACCAACCACAGCAAGGATCACCCAAACGCCAGATAGCAATTAGACCTTCTAAGTATTCAAGGTAGTGAAGAAAGCTCGGAACACCAAGACGTAGTTCAGTTTCTGAATCCGACAGCATTAAGTGATATCGTTGATCAAAGGGTACCTCATTCGTACTATAACGTAGTGCAGTGATTCTCAACTTATTTTCGTCACGCACACTTTTAATAATTTAAAAATTTGGCGGCACACACGGCCGCCAAATTTTTGGCGGTTACTTGGTAAGTACCGCAGGACAATCGGCGACGTCATAACACTGATTTTTAAACGCAGTTGGTTATTTAGGTCACGTTTTCTAAACGTTAAAAACTGTGTCTTGCTCTACCTCAATTGTTCAGTGCGTTTTTCAGTCATTAACAAAGTAACCCGTTAATACGGTATCCAAAAATAAACACGTCTTTTAAAATAAGAAAATGTTCTCTTTCAGATATCGTATAAAAGATGCGTGCTTCATTTTGACTTTAAACAATACTCTCCTTCTATTTAACCTTATTCTATCCTTCCTTTCAGAAGAATTTTTCCCTACGGATAATGTTTCCACTGATAAGCCAGATGAAACATAATATGAGCTACTGGCAGGTATTTGCTATTCTACAAAGATCAAAAAGTGCTATTTAAATATTGTTGAAAATTACATAAATTTTGAAACAAAAAGTTAATTGTTCATAATTCACTTAAAAAGTTTAATTATTAAATGTAATTTAATTCCCGTCATCGTTGTCGTTAAACAAACAATGAAGACGATTTTGTATATCGTAAAAGCTTTTATTCCGGAATCTGTCGTTTATAATGTGTCGATGTGAGGTTTCCATTGGTATAATTTCGTAGAATAGTTGAGTACCCGAGAGTAATCTTCCTCCGATGTGGGACCCGGGTCTCGAATCCAAGACGTGTCGATACAATTACGCGCTTGACACGACGTTGATTTGTATAGGATTGGTAGGTATTTACCAGTGCCACAAATTATACGCTTCACCCGCTTCGGTCCGAGTGCAGTGGCCAGGCCTAGGCTGGAAGTATCGTCATTTTAAGTATCATCACGGCAAACCTCGGCGCCAGGTAAGGATGTATTATTTAATGCATCAATCGGCACGAGTTTCGTCAATCGAAGATTCTACGATTTCGTCAGTTTCGTTACAACACATCCTTACAAACACCCCTCACTATAATACAGTATTCACAATTGAACCATTCTGTAGTTCGTTCGTCGCATCCAGTCACTTACATATCACGCTTCGTTACCGTATACGACACCGTCACATAACACCAACACCGCTTCCCAAAATCCAACCTCTAGGTCCACGTGCTGGGAAGCGGAAACGTCACTCGACGTTTTCGAGTGGCGGCTAAAGAGGCTCTGGTACACTGAATATACACACTCTTAATCTTCTCTGAGCAACTTTGTCAAGAGAAATATAAGGGATATTTACACAATGCTAAAACTTATAGGGATGAAGATTTTTAAAGATATTTTCATCGAAAAGCGCGGATTTTGTGTTTAAACTGTTTCGTAAGGATGAAGGAATCATCTAATTATCAGTAATTTTGGGGTAAAGAACTGATGGTTGATTCCTTTACTCTATTTTAATGGTAAACGGGAAAAGGTTCTTCTTATTACCTATTTACAAAAAATACGACGCTGAAAGTAACGTGCCGAACACTTAAATTTTGTATTTTTTGCTTCCGGAAAATTAACATATGAGCATATTTGAAATTAATTAAATATTCTTTTCCTAATAACAATATAGTGAATTTATAGTATTATATCTTACATATTAATAGTGTGAAATAATTTTGTAAATTTATTAGTTTTAAAAATATAGTTAAGTACTTATAATAATAATTATTTTTAATAACTGTAAAGTTAATTTTCCCTTTCCTTTTACAGTAAGCGTCAAAATCCTCCCAATGCATATATTCTTTTTACTATTATTGGTAAAATAATTGCGTTATTTAGATAATTATATACGTAAACATATAAATATGCAAATAAATTTAAAGTTTATCGTAATAAATGTGCTTTGAAACATTTTCCAGTTCTTTTAAAGTCTCTTGCCTTCATTGGTTGGATTTTGGTACTTACTGTTTATAGTGACGAGGCAAAGTGTTCACTTGAATAAATCTTAAACTAACCTATTCCTGTATTTATTTTGTAAGAGATTGTAAATAATGAGCATATATAGCCTATAAAGCATCAATTGTTATTTAATATATAATATAATCAATTAATAAAATAATTACAGAAATCTCTCAAACATCTCAAAGTTTATTGCTTCATTGGGAAGTTATAATTTATTTATATTTAGCGTTGTTGGAGTAAAGTTCACAACTACTTTATTTACAAAGAAAACATTTTTAAAATGATTTTTAACTAGATACAATGTCTCCGGTCCTATTTCAAAAGTTGTTACGTAATTACAGATATAATATTGATATGAAACTATTCAAAAGGTAGGTCACGGGTCACGGGTGGGTATGCTCATACGTTAATTTCCTGGTCACAGGAAACAAAAAATACAAATTTACACTGCAAAAGTGTTCGGCCCGTTACTTTCAGCGTCGTATTTTTTGTAAATAGGGAATAAGAAGAACCTCTTTCCCATTTACCATTAAAATAAAGGAATCAACCATCAGTGCTTTACCTCAAAGTCGAAATTACTGATAATTAGATGATTCCTTCATCCTTACGAAACAGTTTAAACACAAAATCCGCGCTTTTCGGTGAAAATATCTTTAAAAAATCTTCATCCTTATAAGTTTTAGCATTGTTAAATATCCCTTATATTTCTCTTGACAAAGTTGCTCAGAGAAGATTAAGAGTGTGTATATTCAGTGTACCAGAGCCTCTTTAGCCGCCACTCGAAAACGTCGAGTGACGTTTCCGCTTCCCAGCACGAGGACCTACAGGTTGGATTTTGGGAAGTGTTGGTGTTATGCGACGGTGTCGTTTACGGTAACGGAGCGTGAAATGTAAACGATGCGACGAACGAACTACAGAATGGTTCAATTGTGAAACTGTATTATCGTGAGGGGTGTTTGTAAGGATGTGTTGTAACGAAACTGACGAAATCGTAGAATCTTCGATTGACGAAACTCGTGCCGATTGATGCATTAAATAATACATCCTTACCTGGCGCCGAGGTTTGCCGTGATGATACTTAAAATGACGATACTTCCAGCCTAGGCCTGGCCACTGCACTCGGACCGAAGCGGATGAAGCGTATAATTTGTGGCACTGGTAAATACCTACCAATCCTATACAAATCAACGTCTTGTCAAGCGCGTAATTGTATCGACACGTCTTGGATTCGAGACCCGGGTCCCACATCGGACGAAGGTTGCTCCCGGCACTCAACTATTCTACGAAATTATACCAATGGAAACCTCACATCGACACATTCTAAACGACAGATTCCGGAATAAAAGCTTTTACGATACACAAAATCGTCTTCATTGTTTGTTTAACAATAACGATGACTGGAATTAAATTACATTTAATAATTAAACTTTTTAATTGAATTATATGAACGATTAATTTTTTTTGTTTCAAAATTTGTGTAATTTTCTACAATATTTAAATAGCACTTTTTGATCTTTGTAGAATAGCAAATACCTGTCATTAGTTCATATTATGTTTCATCTGGCTTATCGGTGGAAGCATCATCCGTAGAGAAAAATTCTTCTGAAAAGAAGGATATTAGAATAAGGTTGAATAGAAGGAGTGTGTTGTCAAAATGAATCTTTTATACGATATCTAAAAGAGATCATTTTCTTATTTTGAAAGACATGTTTATTTTTGGATATTGTATTAACGGGTTACTTTGTTAATGACTGAAAAACGCATTAAACAATTGACGTAGAGCAAGACACAGTTTTTAACGTTTAGAAAACGTGACCTAAATAACCAACTGCGTTTAAAAATCAGTGTTATGACGTCGCCGATTGTCCTGCGGTACTTACCAAGTAACCGTGTGTGCCGCCAAATTTTCAAATTATTAAAAGTGTACCGTGACGAAAAAAAGTTGAGAATCACTGCACTACGTTATAGTGAGGTACCGTTTGATCAACATCACTTAATGCTGTCGGATTCAGAAACTGAACTACGTCTTGGTGTTCCGAGCTTTCTTCACTACCTTGAATACTTAGAAGGTCTAATTGCTATCTGGCGTTTGGGTGATCCTTGCTGCGGTTGGTCGTAGCCCTTCACCGTTGCGACGAAGGATTCCGTTGTCACCAGTTCTAATTATATAAGAATGCGGTGTCTTTGCAATGCTATAAACTGTAGCTGGAACCCAATTTCCTGGTGCTGTCTTCAGTCAAACTGATTGGCTTTGTATTAATTTGCAGATTCATTGAAGAAGTAGTGGCTGCCACACGTTGCTTTTCTCTGATTACTTAAATAGATGCAAAAACTGATTTTCTAGGCAACCGTGACAATTGATGTAACGGTATTAAACCAAGAGTAGGTCGTCCAAAAAGACGTTGGGCAGAAGAGGGAAGGTTTCATCGAGAAGTATTCCTCCAGTTCAAAAGTGTCAGTTGTATATCCGTCAGTTCCATAATACTGTACATCTCAAGATTAGCTTTGTTATTTGCCCATAGCCTTCATCTAGTCCACTCGATTTCGATAATGCGGGCTTGACGGGATATGTAAAATTTTTTAAATTTTTGTAAAGTTGTGAAATGCTTTTGACGAATATTGTGAATCATTATCCGATTCCAGTATATCAGGTGGCACAAGTGTTGCAAAAGTAATTACTATGTGAGAAATCGGATAATCTAATTTTTAAAAATCAAAGTATCCCGAGTAACTGTCAACAATAAGACAATACTGGAATCCATTAGCCTAACGCTCTGAGGAATCCGTGAGGGACACGGACTACCCAGTCGCCCTATTGTGGGCATGGCCGAATCCACCGATGGACCTTAGAAAAAAAAGGTCTTATTTTGCTCTTTGAGAACTAAGAATTTTAAAATATTGACAATTGAGTCCTTGATGTTTTGAAAAAATGGCAAAATATTTTTTGTTTTCTACAATAATTTACTGGGAAATACTGTAATTACCGGTAGATACAACATTTTTCCATGCAATAAACAGTGTGCGCGTATTTATATTGACTTTGTAAAAAGGTAATTGTTAATCTTATAGCATTGTCATAATGTAGAAGAATGTTATTGTAAGAAATAGGATGAATCATCATATTTATTAATAAGATTGCGTAATTGATTTTTTTTCGAGTTTCTAGAATTTTAGATGGATTTTTATCAATTTCACTATAGATTTCTGTTATTACATTTATAAATAGAGTATATAAATTATCCCCACAAAGTATAATATTGTTTTTTAAATTATAAATTGTTAAAATATAAATGTTTATGGCAATCGTTTTCGGTTTTGGATCGTTAATTGAAATAGCATTTGTCATCGTGTAAAAAAAAACAATAGAAGTTTTAAAACCAAAACTGTCTTGTGTATATGATTCATTGTAGTAACAGAAGAAAAATAAACGTGAAAATTATATTAAAATTTTTAATTTTATTAATTTATTTGATTAGTTCGTAACAATAGTGAAAGTGAAAGTAACAGCTGATCAACTCTAAACACGTGACTAATCGTTAATCATTCTCACGTGTTCAGTATAATCAAAACAAAATCTTGGATCCCGTGATGCAGTGACTTCGGTTATCAACAGGACGGTTTATACGTGAGTTAGAAATTATATTCTGCTTAATTGTTTTACTTTATAATGAATATATTGTTTTAAATTATTTTGTTTTATTTAATTTTATTGATAGAATGATCATTTTATTCGTAATTGCTACTTTCTTGCCTTGCATCTTATCATCATCGCAAGAGAAAAATGCATCGGTCATTTGGGATGCAAATTCTAATAAGTTTTTGATTCGTGACTCCATTGTAAACAATTCTGTTGCTTGGGGTAATTTTAAAGATCAGATTGCTGAAACAGGGTAAGGAAAATATTTTATTTAAATGACAAAAAAATCAAAACAAAATATCTTATTTTAAATTGTTTATAGCTGAATTAGGGGCCATTGAGAGGGAGGAGGAGCTGAGAATTTTTCTCTGGGAATGTAGGAAAGTTAGGAATCCATAGTGGTTCCTATCCCTATAAATTCATGTTATTTTTAATAACAGAAAATAAAATCTTTAAGACTGTTTTTCATTAATCAAAAAACATTCTATTTATTTTATTTGCTCAAAAAAAAAATGGCAAAAACTCTTTCCCTGGTGGGTACAAGTTCTCAATGACCTTGCTGTATTAAATGTTTAAAATATACAACTAGAAATATTTTTAAATATTTTAAATAATAATTATTAACAATACAGTATTTAGGAAGATTTATAGTTTAGATGTAAGTTATAAAATAAATTATCACTTTTTTTAAAAGCCCAGATATAGTCATACATATATTAAAATAACAATAGATACTTTATTATGTTATAGCAATTGGCATAAATTGAGGAAATACTTACTTAGTATTAATAATATAATAGATTAATAATTAATTAACTTAATAAATAATTATAGTAAATTATTTTCTCAAAATTTAATTTTCTTTGAAAAAGTTTTCAATTTTTTTTATCTTGTAATCCCTTGAAATATGTAAAATTAAAAGTTTATTTTCATTTTTTAAAGTACCATATTTTATTAAATAATTATTTAACAAATAATTAGCCTTTAATTACTTATTAATGGTGCAATTATTTAATATTTTTAAATTTCAGATGGTCCCTTTTAGAAGTGCACACAAATGCATCTTATAATGATTCCTTTCAAGCATATGCCGCTGGTCTTGTGGAAGGGTACTTAACAGCTGATTTGATCAGTAAACATTGGAATAATCTATATGCAAACTATTGCAAAAATGATCAAGTTTATTGTAAAAAACTACAAAACTTTTTAGAAATAAACATGAATTTTATGAATAATCAAATTCGTCGCAAAAGGTCGCACACTTATTGGCATCAGGTAAATATCAGTTATAATATATTATTAAAATTGTGAATCTAATTAATTTATTACAATTAATTACAGGTTGCATTGATATTAGAACAAGTTCAAGGATTACAAGATGGATATAAGAAAACCCCATCCCTCCCTAATACCAATCCAAATGTGATGGGTGTTATGTAAGTTTATTTGATTTGTAGTAATATGTATTATCTCACAAATGACATGTAAGATCAAAGAATTAATGATCTATACAATATATTCTATAGATTATTGAGTAATTCTTAAAAACATGTTGACAACATGCCCAAATTATTCTAATGATTAAATGACAAGGCTAGATTAATTATCAGGCCAAATTGTAAATAATAGAATAAGTTTCAATTAACCAATTATCCTAGCTGATAGTTAATCTGGCATTCTCATTTTAGCCTAAATAAGGCTTGCAATTAGAACAAATAAAAAATAATTCCTATTCTAATAAACTATCACTTATATCTATAAAACCCATCAGTGGCCAAGTGGTCTTCGTACCCTGAACACTAGGAGTTCGGTCGTGGGTTTGCGCCTCGCTCGGATAGGCTGGCCACGTGGAGTTTTCTGGGTTTTCTCCACATCTGTAATACCTAAATAAAGGCCAGTTTCCCTTAAAAAGACCTCCCGGAAGGCATCCCTTAGGCAGATCGCCCAAGCATTGCGTTGCGATAACTTAACCAACAACATCATATCTAATAAGTAGAAATATTTCATTTTTTCTTCTTTCTATCATTTTATCATTGAATAGGTCATTAATACAAAGTTTAATTAACTACAAAGTTGGCCTACATTATCATTTTTCTTTTATTAATATCATATTAGATATTTCATAATTATGTATAACCTATATATTTAAACTGTATTAATTAATTTTTCAGGTGCTATCACATGAAATAAAATATAGTAGCCCTTCTACATATCATGCATTATTACATTGCTCATATAGTTATATTGTGCTTTTATTTTGTTTTCCAAATATAAAAGAACTTTAGCCAATAATTTAAAAAAAATCAGTTACCATTAAATTTCTATTGACAAAGAAATGTTACCTTATTCCAGTCATTGTCCTTGAAACTACCATTGTATGAAATACAATCTCCAAAATAATTTAACTGGGGATCACTGTTTTACGATCATTCTAAAATAATAATTTTCTATTTTATATAGAAGTATCTTATAAAATTTTTAATAATCCTTTCTTATTGAATATAATATAATATTTTAAAATAATTCATACAATGTGTATAGTTTTATATTAAAAGTACAAAGTATCCTGTAAATTTGTGTCTTGAAATCTTGGATAAATAAAAATACACATGAAATTTTTGAACTTTTGATCTTGTTTACATTAGATAAAGACAAAATCAAAGTTTATATGATATCCTACTATACACAAATATACATTAATATGTGAATAATTTTATATAGATAATGAAGTTTGTGAGATCTAAAACAATAATAATAATCATTGTTTTATTATTTTAAAGCAATAGTAATTACTGTTACTTTTTAATTACCATAAAACATATATAAAGAAATATTCCTATAAAACAGAAAGATAATTGGATCAATACTGATAAATTATTAAATATTAACGATAATGCTAATTATAGAACTTAATAATATATAAATTACATTTATGAAGTATGTTTTGAAGGTCATTAGTTGCAGTTTCAATCAGCATTGAAATACTGTAGCCTATACAATCAGTTTAAAATAAACTATTTGTACAAGAGCATTTAATGTATAATTAAAAGACAAAATAATAAAAATAGATATAGGTTTTGCATTATGTTTCATATGTCTTCTTTATGTAGATCAGGGATTCCCAACAGGATTGGTATAGACCTCTTGGGGGTCAATGGAATTTTGAAAGTGGTTGATGGACCTCAAGGAGTAGATTGGAAGTCAATGGAAAAATTAGATACTAATCGTACTTTTTTGAGAATTTCAGATAAATTTTCAAATAAGAATAACAATCATGTGGGAGATTCATTAACTGTTATGATAACTTACATGATATTTTATACAAAACCTTGGGAAACAACATATAAATTTTATGGGGGATTGAAGAGAGTATTTTCTATATGGGATTATGACAATAAACTGCATGCATACACACCGTATTGGTAGAACTGGTAGAATTTTTTTATATTCTGAAAAAAATTCTACCACCATTAACATTACAAAAACTTCTCAAATATAATTATAATCCAAATTGAATCTAAATAGCCCACAATAAAACTTGATGTAGATTATATTTATATTTGAAAATTGCTCTTAAATTCTTTAGTACTTTCATGCTATAGTCCATCATCAGGAGTGATTTCTAATGTTGGACATTTAGAATTTGACTCTCATTAATGATTAAACTTTCTTTAAAAAATCTTTAAGATAATATAGAATTTAAGAACAGTTATAATTAAAAAATTGCAAGATACCATTTACTAAAGTAAGCTAACAATAATTTATATTATCTTGGTCTAGTAAATATTTGATAGAATAGAAATTTTAATTGAGTTGTTTGATATGATATAATTTTTTTATTGAAATTATTTGTTATACCAGTAGAATATAATATGCATTTTGATAATTATTTTAAGGTTTTTTAACTTCTTTGGTGATTTGGAAGACTTAGAAGCTCTACTTAACAAAACAACAAATAAAAAGCTATTGGGAAGTGGTCATTGTTCAGGTTTAATTAAGCTTTTAAAGAATCACGAAGATCTATATGTAGCACAAGATTCCTGGAATACATATCAGTCAATGCTGAGGATACTTAAAAAATATGTCTTTCCTTTCAAAACTTCTCCTTCAAAAAGTTTGTGTTGCTGTAAATAAATAAATTTTGGTTTTAAATGACATTTTTATTCATAAATGTATTTTTTTTTGTAGAAGGTAAGACAATACCTGGTCATACAATGAGTTTCTCTTCCTATCCAGGAACTATTTTTTCAGGAGATGATTTTTATATCATATCTACTAGACTAGTAAGTTTTTTACATTATCTTTTGAAAATATAAAATCTAAAATAACAGTTTAAATTATATAAATTTATGATTTAATAAGAATTTATGTATTTAGGTTGCTTTAGAAACTACTATTGGAAACAGCAACACTAGTTTATTCAAGTATATTCAACCAGACAAAATTGTTCTTGAATGGATTAGAAATATTGTTTCTAACAGACTAGCTACGTCTGGTCTTGAATGGGCTTCTTTGTTTAAACTTTTTAATAGTGGAACGTAAGTTTTATATTCAAATTCTATAAATAAATTGATTATTTTTAATAAATATCAATATGATAAAAAAAACTGAAAGGATTAAGATATTTTTCATTTTCTTGATTCAGTATATAATTATGATAAAAATTATGCACCTTATGTTATAAAATTGAATTCATTATAAACATCTTTAAATCTACTTTTTATAATTAGACCATATTTATTTCCTTAATAAATTCCAAATATCACTTCCAAATATCAGATGAGTTTCTACAATTATCTGAGAAGTATGTAATGTACACCAATTGATAGAATAACTTCAGAGTTAATCTCCCATCTTAATCCCATCTTGCTGTCTACTACTATAGAAAATGTCATAAATGAGAATGGCAACTTTGCAATAGAGAAAGCATTTTACTGTATGCTCTGCAGTTTACAGAGTTGGAATCACTCATCATTGTGTAACATGATTAATCTGCAGGAGCTGTAGAATTGTGACTGTTGTAGGAGGAGTAACAGCAGATATGCTATAGCAAGTGTAGGAAGAATTTTAGTATTGGCTGGATGTGTGTATGACACAGGATACACACATTGAAAAATTGTAATGGGCAAGTATAAAGCTCAGATAGTTTTCCAATGTTTTAAAGTACACTACAATATTCTCAGATAATAATTAACCAGGACTGTGGAGTTGCGTAAAAATCTACTGACTCCAACTCCGACTCTTCCTTACCATCCGACTCCGATTCCATTTCATATACATAACAAGTTGGTAAGTAAAAGGGAGTCAGAGTCGGCGGATTTTTTGATGACTCCGACTCAACTCTGACTCCAGCTAAAACACCAAAACTCCATGACTCTGACTCCACAGCCCTGTAATTAACATAATTACTATAATTTAAAATGGTTGAATGTTTTTTGGAAGACTTGATCCATACAACTTTTATGAATAATTCCTTATATATAATAAGAATAAACTAATGTTAAAAAAAATTAATAAAATAAAAATTTTCTGTTTATAAATTATAAATCAATCATTAATTATTTTTAAATATGTCAGATATAATAATCAATGGATGATAGTTGATTTTAACAAATTTTCTCCTGGCACCGTATCAAAGAATGGATTGCTAATTGTGTTAGAGCAGCTGCCGTAAGTTTGAAATTGTAAAATATATATTTCACTAAACTAATTGTATTTAATATAATTATTATCATTATTTTTTTAATCAGAAATTGCATTGAATACGCAGATAAAACTGAACTTCTTTTAGCACAAGAGTATTGGCCATCCTATAATAGTCCGTAAGTACGGTAGCTAAGGACTTGCATTTAATTCATTTTGTTAATTTAAAATTTAATAACTTATTGTCTGTTAGTTCATTCCCTAAAATCTTTAACATGAGTGGAACTCAAGAAATGGTTAAAAAGTATGGAAATTGGTTTAGTTATGATAAAACACCCAGAGCTCTCATATTTAAACGAGATCAAGGAAATGTTGACAATTTGACATCTATGACAAAAATTATGAGGTAAATCATTTCAAAATGAATAATCTTTCCTGTAATAAATAAATTTAAATAATAGACTTTTTAATATTTAATTCAGTGATGTTGAATATTTTTATACTTCTCTTACAGTTACCGATTGCAAAAATTAATTAAATATATAAAATTTGTGTATTTTAGATATAATGATTTTAAGAAAGATCCTTTATCTCGTTGCAATTGCACTCCACCATACAGTGCAGAAAATGCAATTGCTGCTCGTTCGGATCTTAATCCTGCAAATGGAACTTATCCTTTTTCTGCTTTAGGACATCGTGCTCACGGAGCTATTGATATGAAAGTAAGTTTTAGAATCAGTTTTGAATTTAGTAATAAATCTAAATTAAATGCAAAATCAGTTTCTTACTTAAAGTTTGTGTTAAATACTTAATAATTAGCTTTACATAAAGTCTCAGAAACAAAAAACTGTTGAACTTAATTTCACAGATAAAAAATAATAATTTTAAGTAAATTTTCATTTATGCAAAAACAAATTAATAAGTTATTTAATCAAATTTTTTCCTTTATTATAGCTCACTAGCTATTCTTTGCAAAAAGAATACCAATTTATTGCATATGCTGGTCCAACGTATGACCAACAGCCACCTTTCCAATGGAGTAAAAGTGATTTCATAAATATTCCTCATCAAGGTCACCCTGATTTATGGAAGTTCAATCCTTTAGTTCACCATTGGTTAGACATTTAAAAAAATTCACTAAGATATCATCATTAAAGTACAATTTATTGATTATATTACTGATTATAATATATATGATAAATAATTATTTTCTAAACAGAAAAACATTGCATGCAAAATTTCATATTGTTCAGTTTATTTGTAATAATAGTTACTTTAAGCTGTTGTAATATTAAGTTCAAAATACTGTTAGAAATTTCTTCAATCCTTTATTTGATAATCTTCAGCTTACAAAATACAGTATCTAGAACAATAATTTTTCAAAGAATTTTGAAAGTTTACTACATGAAATTGCAATTTATTGTATTATCATAAATTTTTGTATAAAAATTGATCTTTGAAGCTTGAGAAATCTCAAGATCAATTTATTTGGTGGCTAACAGAAATACTACATACAAACCTCCATGACAACATGTCTGCACATTAATGGTCAGAGTTTCTCACTAGAAATGGTACTAATGTGCTTCCACATCTCACCTATTCACTCAACTTTCAGCCCTTTGAAATTGTTACCTCTTTCGACTGATGAAACAACATCTGCAAGAATGTCAGTTTGAGTTTTCAAATGAGGTAAAAGTAGCATTGTAAGAGAAGGCTTCCAGAAGCTGTTCAAGCACTAGGAAAAGTGTATCATCACCCAAGGGGATTATTTTGAACGTGGTTGTGTGTCGGTGTTTTAAACTATTCAAGGCAGACACTAAAGCCCATATCATCTAAGCTAATTATATAAACCAAATCAAATTCAGGTAGATATAGATACTTGATTAATTTTGAATTTTAATAAAATAATTTGAAAATTCTGAAACAAAAGATTGATCCAGAATGGAATTTGAACTTATTTCTATAATACTAATGCAAAATACCCAACACATTACCAGTTATACTTAGATTTCCAGCTTGATCTTCACTTCCAAAACATACATTAATTTTTATTTACTATATAACTAACTACACTAGCTAATTAGCACTATACACTAGCATATGATCAAATTAGTCATATTATTTAATTCAAAATTAATCAAGTATATAGCCTTATCTTTGTCCATCAATAATACTCATGAGAAATAATTTAAGAACAATTTTTATTTTTATTTAATGAACATAAAATTATATAAACCAATTTAGAAAAAACTCAATTCTTCAATATCAACACTCATATCATCTGAAGTGTATGTATCTCTCCAACATTCATAATGGTAATAAAATTGCATTCTAGGCATTAGTTTTATCTTTAATATTGCTTCTTCTTGCTGGGATAAAATTTTCTTCTTGCTTTTCAAGCAGAAACAACTTAGCTCAGGAAATACATCAAAGACTGTATAAACTGCACATTTATTAAAGTTTTCGCAGTTGATTACATTAAAGGTTCTCAATGACTTTAGATAAGGAGCAATTTCCAGTAATAGTAGCCTGTCTAAACAGGCCATTGATGTCATAAATAAATGTTGCAAGTCAGTACAACTTTTGAATACATTTAACAAGCAATCATTCCATGGATTATTTAGAAAATTTTCCATTCTAAACCACTTAAGACTCTTAAATAGTGAATTAATTGAAGTAGAAAGTGTATTCTTAAAATAAAGATGAAGAATTGAGACAAGTTCCAATATTTGGAGTTCATTGCAATAGATACCAACCAAATAGATATTTACATATTCAAAATTATCTAATCTCAGTTCTTTTAAAACCTTGCCTGAAACGGAAAGAAATTGGCAAACTTCTTCAAATTTTAATGATTTTTCTGTTTTTGACGACACTAAAGATAATCTTTTCAAATGGCTAAATTGCGGAATATATGGGATATGATGGTTCATAAGAAGAGGTTTATGAATAAACAATGATTCTAGATGAGAGAAAATACTCAGTACTAATATTAAATCTCTTATATTCTGAATTCTAATCAACTGTAGCTTTCTAAGATGTAGTTGATGAGAATTGTAATTTAAATATTGATAAATTGCTCTTTCCAATATTTTTGGTTCAGTTTGTAATTTGTGTAAAGGAAACTTTTTCAACAATGAAACTATTGAATCAGATGAAATACTTAAATTTTGAATAATTAATTTCTTCAAATGTACGCATTTCCCTTCTTTGGCAAATAAACGGAAACCAAAATCTGTAACTTTGCAATCTGAAACATCTAAATATTCTAAACAAGAGCAGCAGTTTGCTATACATTTCATTATATGATCTGTGGTTTCTGTATAAGTCAAAGTAAGAGTTATAATATTTGGAAGATGTTTAATTAATTCTTGAAGATTCTCTTCGGAAATTTTAGAAAAAGATAAATCCATATTTATGATCCCCTAGAAAAGGAAATTTTAAAATTCTAAAATTAATGGAGAGTATAAATGAGAGAAACTTACCTCACAAATTTTTCCAATGTCATTTAATGGAAGATTATGTTCATAAAAACTTAAAGACACAGTTTTGATTCCATTTTGGAAAAAAATTTGCAGAATGTCAGGATGAAGATCAAAAGGAGGATGATTAAGGAAATGTTCACACAATACATGAGCTGAAATCTCTACATTAGAAATTATATTATTCTTAATAATTAAAAAATGATTATTACTTACTCAATATGGGAGTATCATTGAATTTTGCATTTTGATTCTTGTAGTAAATTAATAGCTGCAAATTATTTCGGAAAATATTAAAAGCCAACTCAAAAAGAGATACTACAATACACATTCTGAATTATAAAATGAGAAAATACTCATTATTGTTTTGTAATTATTAAATAACACAAGCAACAATTACTCTTCTAAATAACTGTAAACTAAAACAAATAAAACATTACAAAAAATAATTTATAATATATAAAATTCAGTTAATGAAATACTTCAAAAATTATATATTTATGTATTATTAAAGGAGAAAAATAGAAGTATTTTTTCCTTTTCATCAAAATCTAAACAAATTTATAGAAGCTATATTGTATGACAGTTCCAATAGAAGTTTAACTAAATATAAAATATGTGTGATATGTAAAAATATAAAATATTTAAGTATATTAAACATTACAAAGTAATTTAAAGAATTTTACCAACAAATAAATGAAAACATTTTCTTCTTTTCCACAAAGAGTTCAATGTACTGACAAATGTTTTTGGCCCACTTCACAGGCCAACATCATGTCTAAGAACTTAACATAAAATTTGTATCTTCAATTTTTTGGAATACAAAAGGTGTCTGAAAAAGAATATGTGGAAGATAGACATGGAGAACACCTTATTGTTCTTTTGTTCCAATAAAAAGTACAATGTTATGTTATAGACCAAATATTGGCCTGTGAATTAGGCTGAAAACATTGTAACTACATAAAATATTGCTGGAAAAAGAAGAAAAGATTTTTATTTATTTGTTGGTTAAGCTTCTTCCAAATTTCTTGTAACTTTTAAGTTTTTATCAAAGTTCTTTACAATTGTCCTTTATGTTATGTAAGTCCACTATTTAATATATCTGGCATAACCATTTATGGAACATTTAGCAGAGGAATTAAACAATTGAATACAAGACGTTATTAATCTTGTCATGTTTTATTTGTAACTGGACAATAGGTGAATAATACAAAATCTCAATTAAACAATACAACCAGGATACATGATTTTAAACAATATCTAAATTCGTTCTCATACAATTGATATTTTTACAATAATAAATAACAATAAAATTTTCTACATTCATGTAAATAATTTACTATTAACATGCATAATTTGTATAAATATGACTAACTTCCTCGACTAGAAATATCAAAAACACATCTAATGTAAAATAATCCATTCACTACATTACATTAACAATGTTACAGTTATATACTGTATATGATGATAAAACTTATGAATTATTATTAAAATACTGATATATTCAGTTTTTAATATATAACATTGACAACAAACAAGTCTTTTAACAGACAATAATTTCACAAAATCAATAAAAGATTACATATAACTTATATAAATTTTTTTATTTTCTTTAATGTAAATGTTTAAAATTCACTGCAGAACCATTAAAACACACATTAGAATGTGTGAGTCATTACTAAATAACTAATAATGATTGATGCAGAATTTATTGCTGATTTGTACTATAAAACGTTTTTAAATGTTTTTCAAATGCATAGTTCTTTATACCTTAAAAAATATTAAGAAATCAATCATGAATATAAAGATAAATGTTATTCATTTTATCTTTCATATTTATCAGTATTACCTTTACTAATTACATTACGATGCCAAAAATATAGGCATAATGTATATTATCATACCCTTATAAATTTTATAGAATTTAGATTATATACATCAGGGATGGCCAACACGTAGACCGCGGTTGACCGCAAAGGTTTTGAAAGTAGCCCACGAAGCTAAAGTTGAACAATTTGCTTTCAATTAAATTAATGTTTAAAAATCTTAATTCAATAATTTATTCTTACAATAATAGACTGTCTGTGCAACATACCCATACTGTTTGTATTTATCCCAATGAACAATGCAAATGAATGTTAGTGCATGCGCATATAAAAATCCTAAAATTGTTTGCCCATATTCATAGTTGCCCGGAGACTATATTTTACCAAAAAAGTAGCCCCTAAGGGATAAAAGTTTGGCCACACCTGATATACATTGATTATATTTGTCTCAATACATGTACAGTACAATCTTTGCTAAGTTATATAGCATCTATATAACTTTGTTACTTCTATTATATCAATGAATGCAGAATTAATTACATAATAACAATAGCATACAAATAGTACTGTTTTGTATCTTATCTTTGACAAATGAATAACAATTTATTTTCTAATGAATGTAGAATTTAATGTGTAATAAATTCTACATTCATTTGTATCTTATGTTAAGGATAAATATTATTCAAACTAAGTAATAAATCATTTTTAAAATTCTGTTGATAAATTTGTGAAGTAAGTAATACTTCAAAAATACAGATAATAAAAAATATTTCAAATATTTTGGAATTAAATTATTGAAAATTTGTTTTAAAAAATAATTTGAAAACTATATTTACATTGATTTGATTTTTATAATTTAATTAACAACACAAAAATATTTTAAAACTACATTTCTTCAATAAACTGTTAAGCTTTTGTTGCAAAACAGATTCATGAGTGTATAAAAAAAAATTTAAATGATCTCTGATAATTATCTGATTCTTTTTCTTGAGCAATTGTGTCGCAATGTTATGGCCAATTCATTTTTTTAGTTTCTTAAAATAAATGCTTAATTTAAAAATATTTTAATAGAAATAAGAGAAAAAAAATGGAACCCTTTAATACAACAACTGAATGATGCATAATTAATACTTTAAAATTATATATAATTCAAATAATAATATGTCGTATACATAAAATTTTTCAGTACAGTTGAATCTTTTCACTTTATTTTATTGCACTCTCAGCATAAATTTTGCTATGTTCAACCTCATAATTTCTTCACAAAATAGAAAAGGAATATTTTTTTTATCATCTTTGATTATCAATACTTAATTTAAGTATTAATATATTAATTTCTTGGCATCACAAATAATTTAATAAATATAATCATTTCATTTCACAATACTGAATTATCATGAATTTCAAGACTAAGATATGAAATAATTTTAAAATTCGAATGCTTGAAACTTACTCTGACATTCTAAAATGATATTAAACTCTATAAATAAATTAAAAATTGATGTTATTGCCAAAAAAGGGAAAATAGTTCTCAAGAAAGAGAGGTTAAAATTATCAATTTGAATGATTTGAAAGAATAAGAAGTTACTCTAAACATAAATAAAAGATGAAAATACAGTCAACACCCCTATAACAGTGTTGATTATTCTGTTTTATATGAATTCCATGTTGTACAAATAACTTAGATTTTACAAATACGTGTGCCAGGCTGTGAACGGCTCACGTATTTGTAAAATCTAAGTGACTCGTACAACATGGAATTCATATAAAACAGAATAATCAACAGGGGTTATAGGGGGGTCAACAGTATACTAACATAACCAAGAACAAAATGCAAGTGTTCCCTTTAAACAGATCCAGTAATGGTGATGAAATCTCATGTTTACAGATGATTTAAATAAAAGAAAAAATTTTATTAATTAAATGACTATAGATTAATCTCATTTAAATCATACACATTGCACATTTCCTTAATTATAATCATAAACTTACAGCTTGAATTTTGTTGTATCTTAAAATATCATTAGTTTATATATATATTACATTAGAAACTGACACAACTTAAATCACAACAGATATCTGGTATGAATTAAATGTAAATATGTTTAAATATACTTTTATCATCAACTCTATTTGATAATAACAAGTAAGAAATGTTAAAAAATAAAATAAAATTAGTTTTTTTTTTACAAAAGTAGTTCTAGAGGTAAAGATTGCACTCGTGTCAGGAGATTGCATTTCACTTTAAAAAAGTAAAAATTTCATAAACTCTTAACTTAAAAAGTTTATGTTGTCATTGCACCAACATAAAACTCATTTTTGACTAACAATTTTTATATCAAGCTATTTGACTCAATAATTATCACAAAATTTGGAATTGTTTGAAACAGTAAATCTATTCCTAATTCAATAGTGAAAACAAAATTGAATACTTGTGTAACTTGGCATTACTTACTTTTCTGTAAGGTATAATTTTGACCTTATTTTGATAAACTTAGAAAACATCCCATATATGATAGCATAATAAATGTAAAATTGTTATTGTGCATTTTATTATATTGTAAAAAAAATTTTGAAATGACTGCATAAACAAGATTTTGTACTGAATTGTGATTAAACTTTTATTAATGCTAAGTAAATTACATAAAGTTACTCTGTGAATGTGTATTCAAGGAGTCACACTTTATGCAACATAATACTTTTTGAATTGGTTCATATTTTATCTTCAGATCCACATAGATGTGAACCNAAATGCAAAAATTTCATAAACTCTTAACTTAAAAAGTTTATGTTGTCATTGCACCAACATAAAACTCATTTTTGACTAACAATTTTTATATCAAGCTATTTGACTCAATAATTATCACAAAATTTGGAATTGTTTGAAACAGTAAATCTATTCCTAATTCAATAGTGAAAACAAAATTGAATACTTGTGTAACTTGGCATTACTTACTTTTCTGTAAGGTATAATTTTGACCTTATTTTGATAAACTTAGAAAACATCCCATATATGATAGCATAATAAATGTAAAATTGTTATTGTGCATTTTATTATATTGTAAAAAAAATTTTGAAATGACTGCATAAACAAGATTTTGTACTGAATTGTGATTAAACTTTTATTAATGCTAAGTAAATTACATAAAGTTACTCTGTGAATGTGTATTCAAGGAGTCACACTTTATGCAACATAATACTTTTTGAATTGGTTCATATTTTATCTTCAGATCCACATAGATGTGAACCATGTCAAAAATTTTTCATCATGTAACATGACTCCTTGAATGTTTATTAGCATTTTGGTCATGTGATGTTAAATTTTTAATAGGAAATAAAGATAACTTTTATGTTGTATAAATTCACAAACCCATAAATTCTTTAAATGTCATTAACCCAATTTATACAAGCGGCCGGATGGCCGAACAGTCAAGGTGATAGCCCACTGCTCTGGGGGACCCGGGCTCGAATCCGAACAGGTTGAAAACTCACCAGGAATTTTTAGGGGGGTGGTCCGTTCGGATATGTCGGGCCCCGTTCCTCACCACCCGGCAGCCCTATTGTGGGCCTGGCCGAACCGATATTGGGCTTGCAAAAAGAGGTCCTCTCAGTGACCACAGGGCAGAAAGAATTTTAAAAAAAACCCAATTTATACATACAAAAATTAGGATTTTCCAATAAATACTTTTACTCGAGATTTTGTTTATGCAGTCAACCTTTAAAACAAATATACTTAGATTTGATTATTATTCTGAATCTATTATTTCCATGTATATAACTGGAAAATATCCTATCCTATTGTCTTTTGTTTCAATTTGCCACCAATCTGGATCACAAGCATTAATCACTCTTACAATTTCACCTTTTTTTAATGATACTTCTGTCTCATCCTGTAAATAAAAATAATAGCTAAAGTTGAACAATTTGCTTTCAATTAAATTAATGTTTAAAAATCTTAATTTGATAATTTATTCTTACAATAATAGACTGTCTGTGCAACGTACCCATACTGTTTGTATTTATCCCGATGAACAATGCCCTTGAATGTTAACGCATGCGCATAAAAAATCCTAAAATTGTTTGCCCATATTCATAGT